TGTAAACACTGAACTATTGAGATTAAATATTATTAAACCATGGTGCAGTACTGAGTAGATACAGCAGGGGCAGTATTGGACCAATACAAGGCTCCATTGACTCCCATTATAAATTATTAAACATTAATTTTTCCAAAAAATATAAGTTGTACAGGCACCAAAAGGCATAGCCATCATTTGGCACAGGAGATTTACAAATATAAATTACAATGGCAGCTCTAGGACAAAGTATGCAGGAGGAGAAGCATGGCAAAGTGGAGATGACTTGGATGAGAAACGTATCACAATAGCGTGCACTGCATTGGCAATGCATCACTGATTATTCTGTCATGTTTGGTCACTTTTCAAAGAGCCACATGTGGCGACAAGTTGTAGACTCCTGGTGTAAACACTGTATATCTGCACAGAAAGGCTGAAGTTTTCAACCAAGAACTTGCGCAGGTGAGCCACCTGAGAGTAAATAATGATTTTAATTTCATGATGACACTACCACGACTTGTTGACACTTAAACAGCAAGAGCTTCTTTAATGGAAATGTATGTTTTTAAACTCCTTTTGTCAACTAAAACCTGGAGTTCATTTTGGTAATCTTGTGTGAAAATCTTTTTCGTTTAAGTGACCCTTGTAGCAGAGGTGAAAATGACTGGCTGCCTGTAATTATGGGTTAATTTTTCAAAACAGACATCTCTGAATCTGAATCCTAAAAGTGTTGCACCTCTGAAGGACCCTTTTTCAGCAGATCTTTACTCTCGGCGAATACAAATTAAGTCAAGTGTGCAAAAAAAAAAGTACTTCTGATCAAACTTTTTAATTTCAGACCCTGTTAGCAAAAATCCACCCATGCACCGGTTAAAATGTATGTTTGTTTGTTTTTAACTCAGGCAGGCAGAATGTTCCAGCTCCCCGTCAATAACCTCACCAGTCTACGGAAAGCGAGGAAAAATGTCAAGAAAGCCCTGGGAGACATCGGCCTGGAGTTCTGCAGAGATCACTTGGAGGTGAGTGTGCTGAGTTTGGGGTTCAGCAGTCATGACAGCGAGCCTTACCTTTTTTAAAAAAAAATTTTTTTTTTGATTTTTCATGGCCCTCGCATCTTAAAATGGTCACAAAGTTTATTTTTAGAGATCCGTAGCAGTAGGCATCATTGTTGCATAGGCTTTGTTTAAACCTACAAACTGATATCCTGAATTATGCTGCATTAAAAATAATCAATAAGGTCGGTTATTTGGATCATACACATGCACTGTTCATAAAATCTACACTTTTAAAATTTACTGACAGTGGATTTACAAACGGCTATTATTTTGTTTAAAGCCAAAAATAATTTCTTACAGGGAAACATTCAAAAGCTTTTGCTAAAAAAAAGGAAGGACTTTATAATTTAAGGGAAAAATGTGAATTTAAAATTTTTGTGTACCATTATATGGGTTGAAGCTGTGGAATGGTTTAAATATGGAAATCAATCAATGTCCAAACATAAAACAGTTTAAAAATGTTTTTTAAAAAGATGGTCATCACTGCATATCAATATGAAAAATAAATATGGTAATTGCTGCTATTATCAATGTTATTGTTTAGTTTAAAGTTGTTTAGTGTCAATTACTTATGGTTTATGGAAAAACTGTTAACACGTTAATTTATGGATGCTTGCTCTTAATAGCATGCAAAAATGAATGCTTTGTACAAGTTAGAGATATGGATATAAAAATTTAAAGATTGTTATAACCAAGTTATTATGAATTGTAATTAAGGATGAGTCTATAGCTGTTAGAGGAGTGGGTGGAAAAGATAAGTTTATACTTCTACCCACTCCTTTGAACGTGTAAATATAATTCACTATTCTTCATTTGTTTTAAATTAATTTTTCTTTCGTGTTTAACCTTTTTTTAATACATTACGTTCAATAAAGTCAAAGTGAAAAATAGGTTATAACTCTCACCCCAACACTAACCCGTGGTCACATTCTTGTTATTTTTCACCAAATGTAAGACGTTCCACAAGCGTAAACCTTTACAGGGTTTGTAATCCACTTCTCCGGGTTTTATTAAGATGCAAACATCTGGACTTCTACAGAACTGGTCCCTCTTGATGCAGTTTTCGATGGTGCTAAAGGAATTCTACTTGCATTGAGCTGATCAGAGTAAATATTTACCTAGTAGACATGAGAATCACAAACAAGAAATAATTGGAAATGTAGGCCTTGTTTCCTATCACCAGGTAAACATATGTATTCCTAAAGACGAGTATCAAACCCATTTCCACCAAGGGCCACATGAGTGCATCATGGTGGTCCTCAAAAGGCCAGTWGTTTTTAACTTTGACTAAACATGAATCATCATGTTCCTCGTTTTACTGCTCTGTCTGAGCCCCGCTAACAAACACTGAGCTCTACCTGGTATTTCCTGCATAATAACAGTGTTCTAACTCATCCTCTTATAAACACTGAAAAGTATTACATATACGACTGATTAAATATGAAGTAAATAATACAGAAATACAGAGGTTTATAGTAACTAAGTATGTTTACTTCTTTACAGTACTTAAGTAGTTTTTTTGAGGATTTGTAGTTTTACCAATTATTTTTTTAAACAGCTACTTTAACTTTTATTTTGTTACATTTTAAAGTGAAAATGATTCTTTTACTTCTTTACTTTAAAATGTAACACCTAGTTACTTGTTACAAAATTAAAAATGTTTGAACTCATCATGAAAAATGTTTCTGCTTTAAAAATAGTGTTGAATTTACTCAACAAAGTCATGTCAGCTGGCTCCACTGAGCCTAGTTGAATAAACTGAGCAAAGAATATAAATATATCGCTCAATTTACTCAACCTGGTTTAGTGGAACCAGTTTAATTCAGTAAATTCAACAGTTTATTTCTTAGAGAGTGTGTAAAAGTACTTTTAACTTTCCCAATTTTTGTGAACAGTTTACGACTTGAGTAGTTTTCTCATCAGTGAAATTTAGTTTTTACCAGTCATTTTCTGTTCATGTAATTTTACTTTTACTTAGTTATTTTTTTCAAGTACTTTGTAAACCTCTGCAGAAATATTATTTAAAGTAAAAGTAAGAGAGTTTTACTCACTGAGTTGTGGTGAGGAGCTGCCATCTTGAATTCTGAACTCTCCCACTTTCTAACAGGGAATTCCAACTGGAGGGACGTTCCAGTTTTAACTTACGACTTGTAAGTGGGGAAAATCCCACTTCCCAGTACAACTTGGCCACAGTAAAAGTAGCCACTGAAAATGCAGCGAAATGTTTTACATGGTGAATTTTGATGGCTGTTGGCTATTTTAGAACCCTGTTCAGCTCTAATTAGTTGTGGGAGGTCGTCATTTTGTGGGAAAAATAATCAACATGCATTATGGGAGATGTRGTTTCTGTTAAATGCTGGTTTTAAAGCAGCTTATCTTAAGACTATAAGTTTTTGACGCTCTCGTGGGCCACATAAAATGCTGTGGCGAGCCACACTAGAAATATCTGGAGTACTTGTAAATGTTGGGGTAAAAAAATTAAGGTTTTGTTCACTGAGTGCCTGASAGATTTGAATAAAGAAACAGTTTGAAATGTCATTAAATGTATTTCTTACAGGCAGCAACTTTAAAACCCTGCATTAATCTGTAACTTTAGTTACACACGGCAACTAATGAAACATTTTTTGTCTAAATTGCTAATAAAAGTTATTTGTTAGAATTACATTATGAACACAACAAAAAGAAGCTTCCTGTTGATTTTTTCATTTCCGTCTTCAAAGTAGACGTCTTCAAAACGTTCATAAGTTGTCTATAGTGTGACAGGGCTTTAAAAAGATTGACCTAAAACAAGTTTAATTTCCTTTTTATGTTGTAACTTCGCCTCACATGTCGCCCTTTTGTAAATAAACATTCTACTAATTTGATGTATTTGTGTCTTTTTCAGGACTTTAAAGATTTCACCCCTCCTGAAGTGTACATTAAACACACCAACTGGGAAGATGTGTGCATGTGGGAGCCATCGCATACCAAAGTCCAGGTGTGTGACTCAAGAATATGAATCCTGACATTTTTTTAGTCTTGTATGTTTTGGTTATATAGCTTCAAAAAGTTGTTTGTTTTTTATTTGGTGCTGTTGAGTCAGTAAATTATGCTCCTCTGTTCTTTGTCTCCAGGATTACAGATCCAAACCTTTCTGCTGCTCAGGCTGCGTCTTTTCATCCAAGTATTTCTCGGCGTACAAGAGCCACTTCCGCAACGTTCACAGCGAGGACTTTGAGAACAACATCCTGCTCACCTGCCCCTACTGCACTTTCAACGGCAACAAAAAGACCCTGGAAACGCACATCAAACTTTTCCACATGCCCAACAACGCTGTGCGGCAGGGCCCCGGGGGCGTGGTGCCGGCGGCCGGCGGGATGGTGATGAAGGACGGCCTGCTGAAGAGGACCGGGGACAGCGTGGAGCAGGCGGTGTACTACTGCAAGAAGTGCACCTACAGGGACCCTCTGTACAACGTGGTGCGGAAGCACATCTACCGAGAACACTTTCAGCAGGTGGCCCACCCCTACATCGTCAAACCAGGAGAGAAAACTAACGCCCAGAACGGAAACACAGAGAGCGCTAACAACACGAACAATGTTAGCAGTAACCAGATCCACTGCAAAAAGTGTCTCTTTGTTCCTCGCACATACGAGGCGCTCGTTCAACACGTCATCGAAGACCACGAGCGGATCGGCTACCAGGTCACCGCCATGATCGGACACACCAGCGTCATCGTCCCCCGACCCAAACCCATCATCATGTTCCCCGCAAAAACTCTAGGAGACAAAACCATCATCGGGATGGGCCCTAAAGGAGCGGTGCTGGCCACGGCACGGTCTCCGGCCACGCAGCAGCTGAGCCGAGCCATCATCGCGTCCAAAACTGGCTTCAGCTCACACAGTCTTCTAGCTGGACTAAAACACGATGCGATAGGACTGAAGGGGGCCAACCAGGCGTTCTCTTTAACCAACCATCACATCAGGGCCACGCTGCCAGGGAACGCCCAGGTGTCCGTCCCCCAGCAGTCGCACGCAGCGAAGCAGCTCCTCTCCAGCGGGAACCTGCGGAGCCCGCTCGTGGCCGGCGCCTCCTCTGCACTCAAGTCCAACCTGCTGGGCTCCCGCGTTCAGGCGGCGGCCACCACCGTGGCCTCCGTCACGGCTAAGAAGGGCGGCTCCTCGCTCCTCGGCACGTCCTACACCCAGAAGTGGAAGATCTGCACCATCTGCAACGAGCTCTTCCCGGAGAACGTCTACAGCTCCCACTTTGAGAAGGAGCACAAAGCGGAGAAGGTGCCGGCCGTGGCCAACTACATCATGAAGATCCACAACTTCACCAGCAAGTGTCTGTACTGCAACCGCTACCTGCCCAGCGACACGCTGCTCAACCACATGCTGATCCACGGCCTGTCCTGCCCGCACTGCCGCGCCACCTTCAACGACGTGGAGAAGATGGTCGCCCACATGCGGCTGTCGCACCCGGACGAGCGGGTGGGCCCTCGCACCGACTCCCCCTTGACCTTCGACCTGACTCTGCAGCAGGGGAACCCCAAAAACGTCCAGCTGATCGTCACCACGTACAACATGAGAGACGCCCCCGAGGAGTCGGTGGCGTTCCACGCCCAGAACAGCTCCACGTCCGTGTCCGCTCTGTCTGCTTCTCTATCAGGGAAGAGGTCGACGCCTCAGCAGCCGCCAAAAGCTGCGCCGGCGCTGCAGGACGCCCCGCCGGTCAAGAGTCCTCCACCAGCGTCCGTGCCCTACAAGAGAGACGTGGGGAAGACGCTGTGTCCTCTTTGCTTCTCCATCCTCAAAGGCCCGATCTCAGACTCTCTGGCCCATCACCTGAGAGAGAGGCACCAGGTGATCCAGACGGTTCACCCTGTGGAGAAGAAGCTGACCTACAAGTGCATCCACTGYCTGGGGGTTTACACGAGCAACATGACCGCCTCCACCATCACCCTGCACCTGGTCCACTGTCGAGGYGTGGGCAAGTCTCAGAACGGTCAGGACAGCCGGGCGGTCCACTCCTCCCGCCTCGGCCCGTCTCAGAGTGGCACCCTGAAACGGCCTGGCGTCAACAACTCCGACGCCGGCACACCGAAACGCCGGCGGGCGGGCCCCCCCGGCGAAAGGGCCCACCCTCGGGATATGAACGGTTCCACGTTTGAAGAGAACCCGGACGAGCCGGTGGTGCTGGCCCTGGACCCCGCGGGTCAGGAGAACCAGCCGTACGAGACCAGGAAGGCTTTCCTGACGCAGTATTTCAACCGCGTGCCGTACCCGACGCAGCGYGAGGTGGAGAAGCTGGCGTCCCTCCTCTGGCTCTGGAAGTCCGACATCTCCAGCCACTTCGTCAGCACACGGAGGCGGTGCGTGCGGGAGTGCGAGGCCCAGCGCGCCGGCGTGCTGCTGGGGTTCAGCATGCACGAGCTCGGCCGGCTGGACCACGAGCTGGCCTTCCGCCAGGAGGACGGCGCGTACGAGTGTGAGCACCGGAAGCGCCGGACGTCCAAGACGCGTTTGGGGCTGTCGCAGCAGGCGCTCCGCAGACACCGGGAGCTCGCCGCGGCTAACGGCGGCGCGTGTCGAGACCAAACCGAGACGATCGGCAGTGCCTCGTCACGAAAAACACCCCTGGACCTTTCTGAGCCCATCGCCATCGACTCGGACAGCGACGAGGAGGAGCAGCAGAGGGATATCCAGGAAGCAGTGGGAGAAACTGCAGCTAGGAAGAGAATAGAGCCCAGGACAGACATGAAGATGGTTTCAGATTTAGACGATTTGTCTGATGACGACGATGATGATGACGACGATGATGATGATGACGATGATGATGATGATGATGATGGGTCTCTTGTAGAGAATGGTTTTGGCACAACAGAGAGCTCAGGAAGAGACTCTTTACCCATCATCATCCCCAAGTTTGTCCCGTCGTCCGCGAGAAGTGAGCGAGATGGAGCCCAGCTGGGCAAACAGCACGTCTGACCCACAACGCTCAGATTCAGGATAAATCTGCCTCTGCTAGCTCAGCCACAGCTACACCTGCTGATGGAGGTGTTGAAAAGAGACCAGTCGAAACAAGCCATCCAGTGAGGTTTTAAAAAATAAAAAGACTAAAAGAGGCAGCAGAAGTTACACCAAACAGAAACAGGGGAAAGAAAAAAATGCCTTCTTTAATCCTAATATGAAATAAAGGGTTGTTAGCATTGATTTAGCCTCTGAGCTAGTCAATGCGCCTGAAAGGAGTTTTAAACTGATCATATAACCCATTACTTTTCATGTAGTTCTTCTAATGGTGGTGTAAATTTGTACAGTCTTTTAAACCTGTTTGGACACATGTTGATGTACACGTACCCTAATTATCTGCTCTTACCTGTGCAGCCTCGTACGTTCCCCTTCGCCCTGCTTAACAATAGCTGTTGCTTTTGTGGCCATTTATTTTTTACCATAACTATATTTTTTGCCAAATATCTATAAATGATTTTCTTTTCAAAATTTCGAGTAGGTTGTTTTTATAATTTTCTGCCCGTTTAAAGAGTCATTTCATCCACTYTTTTGCACCTATTGCTAAATAGCTTTGACTGTGCTGTACATGCTACTTTCACAGTTTCAACTTGATGTTTCTTTGGTCTGTAAGACTGGACAGGAACCAGCATACTGGCTTTCACAAAAAGGAAAGCTTCTTGTTTTGTTTCCAAAAAAAAAAGGAGAAAAGGAAAAAAAAAGATGGTTGTGTTCACTGTTTTCTAAAATTGTGTGTATTTTATGTTTTCATTTTCCACCCAAGCATTTATGAACAATAAAATGATGTAGTTGTGGTTCTCACAGAACTGGTGGTTCAGATTAAAAGAGGGTGGATTGTGCACAAAAGAAGTCTTGGTGAATAATTATACACGGCTAAATTAAAAGAAATTCCCTTGTTTTGGTTTTTAGGTATAGTTATTGTAAACATTCATGTTTTTGCATTTTTTTTAGTGAATTTGTTTCCCTAAAATATGAATACCTCTTAAAGCGTCTGTGACATGTTTCAACATAATTTTACCCATTTTGTTTCAGATTTTCTTTTGAACTTGGCTCAGCCAAAGTGAAACAGGAAGTGACATCAAAGGGGAACTCTCTCTGGTCTTAAACATTATTTGAACTCTGACTCTTCATCGCTCTTTTATATATATACACACATACACAACTTTTTGCATTAGTTATTGTAGCAATGCTCTGTTTACATGCAGACATTCCCCTTTGACATCACTTCCTGTTACTTTGCATGTGAATATGTCAACAACTGTTCATCTCAGCAGTATGAAATCTTTGTTGTAGTACGTTATTAATGTTATCTTTCAAAAAATGCATTCATGTTTATTACAAAAATTTGACGTCACAGGCACTTTAACAACTACACACCAAATTTTAACTAGTTTTTTGTATAATTTACTGAGGTACAGACATTTTTGTTGAAGCAAAGACAGACTGGGTGTGAAGGATGTCTTTAATTGGATTAAGTTTACAAGTTAGTCCGTTGTAGACAGACAGCTAATAAACTAACAGTCAACTCCATCAATTAACAGCATTAATATGATTTATATTTTTTGCCCTCATGTTGGAGAACACTCAGTTTGAACTCTGTTGCTGCAAAATTAGTTGGAGCCATTTTTGTTTTCTACAGTCAGCTGTTGCAACCATTTAGAATCAGTTTGGTTCATGTCTCACATGTTGAGGTTAATAGTGTAAAGCAGGGCTATTCAATCATGGCCTGCGGGCCACATCAGCCACACAGGTGGCTTTCCTTCGGCCCAGTGACAGCCCCCACATTTAAAAAGTTTTTTTTTATTTAATTTTATAAAAACACATTAAATCAATGGTAAACTTCTAATTTGTGACTCAAACAAAACTAATTTGAATAAATTAAAAAAGTTAAAAGAATGTAATACTTGTTCATGAAAAAGATTTCAGCAATTTATAAATCAAAACTTTAGTCCTTCAGGATAATCTGTCACTTTTGAAATTTCAGCTATTGATACTTTTTGATAAGTTTAACCCTTTTAGCCATTTTTTGTTCTCATTGAAAATGAATGGAGCKGTCTTCAACATATAAATCCTTCAAAACAGTTTAACGTTTCCTACTTTTCACCTTTTCTTCTTCTTCTGCCTTTTTTAACTTCACTGTGCAAATTTTAGCTTCCTTGGTCCTTCTTCCTGCTTTTTTCAGCTATTCCGCATATTATATATAGCTTCTTTCTGAAATTTAAGTTATTTTAGATAGCTTCTAGCCTGGTAAAAAGCAGCCCCTTGTTCTCGGCTTTGATCAGAGCAGTGAAGGGAAACTAGAACTGAGTGGAACTGCGTAGGAAGGCCAGGGCCAGGCTGGATATTTTCAGCCAATTTTAGCTTTTCTCAGCTAAATTCACCTGTTTGTGATCATTTCAGCTGCTTGCTGTTTAATTCAAACAAGCTTTTTCTACTTTTCTGTGCTAGATTCAGCTTTTTCAGATACTTTCAGCTTTTGTGGCAGTTTTACAATTGCTTACAGCTTTTCTTTTTTTCTGCTTAACTTTCAGCATATTAAGGTTTCAGGCTGCGTTTTTGCAAAAAATACAATGTACATCAAGTTTTACTTTACTAAGTTATTCAGATCGTCTTTGAGCTTCTTACCCCTTTTTCAGGTTCACAGTTTGCACAGAAACAGCC